ATCCCCTAGTCCCTCTTCTAGCCACTACAGAACACTCGTTCCTGTAGGCAAGAGCTTGATCCTTTTGGGAAAGGACGTGGCCCTACAGACCACGGAGCTCGTACTGGATTGATTTCTTCTATTAGGGGAAAAAAGAGAGTCTAATCCCACTGGGTTGGCTCGTGTCTTCTCTGTATTCCTCCTCTGCCTGTCAGAGGGACAGATGGAGAAGTCCTCTGGTCAGCAGGGAGACAGCCTGCTTCCCTTCAGGACAGTCACCAAAGGAAGGATAGGTAAGATTCTGCTTCCCCACACTTGGCACCAAATGAGACTGCTTGAGTTGCTACATTAACATTCCTCTCTATTGCTGCAACAAGCAACTTTATGGCTTCCAGTATTGCAGTCCAGATTCTGCTTCCCCGATCACTACCATAAATACAGAGTAATACCACTGAAGGTAGCAGTGTTGCCCTGGCGTAACTGGGAGCAGAAGCAGACCTTGCTTCTAGCCTCACACAGAAGCCTCTTTCTCACGCATGCCCTCAGGAACAAGACCAAATTCATTGCTGGCAGAAGCAGAGCCAACTCCACTGACTTCAGCACATCAAAGTCAGCAGTGAATCTGGGCTGCAGGCTCTCAAATGCTCAGAGAAGAGACTGTTCATACAAACCAGTCTCACTAAGAGCATTTCAAGGAGCCACAATAGGGTAGTAAGTAAAAAAATAATACACCTATATAGCTACATAAAAAGGAGGAAAAGTTTGCCCTCCAGGCTTCTATTATCTGCGAGACAATGGTGGAACCATATTAATCCAGTAGTCTGTGGAGGGAATGGATGTGCAAGCAGCATCTTGAAGTTATAGTAACAGATGTTATTAGCATATGGTTGAAACTGGGGCATAGAATGAATTATCTTACAACTAAATCAGCACAGAGATGCATACGCCGTGGGTGTAAAATTATCTGTCTCCCTTTAACATGAACACAGTGCATCTTTAACACTTCCAGGCCCACAGCTGTTCAGATCAACAGAAAACTGTCCATGTTAAAGTTCAGTGCATGGATTCAGAGTGTGTGTGTGTGTTTGGGGGGGGGGGAGTGTTTTAGAGCTCAGCTTCCTCTCTAAACCCAAATCTTTGGGACTAGGGGTTTGACACTTAGAGCTTGCATCCAGATCTGAATTGTGCAAATGGCCCCTGGAGCCAATCAAAGCCACAGCTGCCAGCTCTGAGAAGGTAGCAAAATCCAGATTTGAATTTGGCAGCTCAGGCCACATGCAGTCACACCTGAGTGCACTTCTTTCTTGCTTGCTTTTGCAGGTGGAATCATCACTAGGATGAGTTTCGCTATTGTACACATGGCTCTACTCAGATTAGACTGTTGTGGATGCAGAGATGGGCATTAACCCACTGAATCTGCTAGGATCTGCAGAGCAGTGCACATCATGCTAAAAGGAATGTCTACAGCAAGAGGTAGGTATCTGCTTTCCATGCTGGCACACCACTACATTTGACTGAGTTGAACATTTGATTGTGAGTTGACATTCTGTATTCAGGACAAACTTTTCACTGCGCAGGCTGATGCTTGGCACCATAATGCTCGAGGGCTTGTGGGAATGGAAGGCTCAATGTAATATCAAGTATGAATCAAGCTGGGTGAAGACAGCATTGAAGAGTTAGAGCCCACCAACTCTCTAGTACAAATGGTTTTGGCACAAAGCACCTTTATAGGAAAAGCTGACTTCCATCCTCAAAAAATAGAAGCTGAGATGTAGCACAGTCCAATCCAGAGGCCCCTCACGCAGAACTCAGGAAGCCTGGATTGACTCCCTGACTTCCTGACTGATCTGTTGTGGGAGTTTGGACAAGTCACTTTGCTTCTCTTTC